TTCTCACAACAACCCTGGGAGATAGGTCCTATTATTATCCCCATTTTACAGATGAATAAACTGAGGTAAACAGAAATTAGGTGACTTGGCCAGGGTCATGCAGCTAATATCTGAGGCCAAAGCTGAACTCAGGTCTTTTCGACTCCAGGCCCAGCATGCTAATCACAGTACCACCTTTCTGTCTATTGATTTTTCCCTTATATCCATGCCACTCTTCCTTCCCAGAGAGTTATCCCTTATCACCTAAATAAATAAATAAATGTCAGATAAAAAGAGAAAAACTATTCAGCAAAACTATTGACACATAGAAAAACAATCTGAGGTGCTGTACAATGTTCCACAAATTTCTGCAAAGGAAGGGAAGGGTTATCTTTTTTCCTTTTTTTTTTCTTTTTTTTAGGTCAAGCTTGTTCTTGTATGTAAAGGGAGGCTTTATTTTTCTCAGCATCCTAACAATGGAATCTCTAGGTTACACACACACACACACAAACACACACACACACACACACAAACTCACATTTTCAAGACTTTATTTGCATAATTTTAAAAGCTTTCCAAAACTATATGCCAATTCACAGTTCTACTAATTATGTATTAATTTACTTGTCTACTCATAACCTCTGCAACATTGACTATTCTCATCTTTTGTCATTTTTGTTATTCTTGCCAGATGAGAATGTTATTTTAACACATAATCCATTTTAGAAAAGAAAATTTGCCATTGAAATAAAAGTAAATTTTAAAATCTCTATTTCAAAATAAACATTGGGTAGACAATCGATATTTATTCTTCTTACTCAACTATAATTTTAAGTTACCAAAGTAGTCTAAAAGATTTACAAAATGACCAAAAAGCACCATATTATTAAAATACTACAATTATTGTCTGCTGACTTAATTCAAATTATCATCTCAAAGTATTCCCAAATGTCCCAGGCCTTTTGGATCAAGTGCTGAAGGGGAAGAGGAGGAAATCTAAAAAGTAGTCTTAATTTGAAATGCTGAAAAAACTGATGCTGACGTGGGATTGTACTGGTATTGACAAGGGCTACTTAAGACTGAACACTATATTCTGGCATAATCTGTTGTTATTGTTATTATATTACTATCATTTTAATTATTATTATTATTCATTATTTCTTCTAATTATATCATAGGCATATAGCATTATGTAGTATAGCACAACACCTACATGAGCTCAGAAAAATTTCAGTACATAGTATAAATGTGAATAGACATACATTAAAAAGATTAAATAAATATCCCTTTAAGGTTTTTCATTAAAATGATATTTCCTGAGACATTCTTGAAAACCAGTTGCTAACTAATTTACTATAATTAGGTATTTTAAAAACCATTAATAGTAAAGGACAAATAAAGTGTATTTTGTCTTCTAACTAAACACTGTTAGCTCAACTTGAGTGTTGCTTGGGTTGCGACTATGCATTACAGAATACTGATCTAATTGCTTTAGTGTTTAAGCCCTCCAAGCAGTACAGATGTTATGCAAATGGTTTAGTGCTCATTTTCAGAAAGTAAACAATTGTGGTAAATTTTGCAAGGGATTTTTTTTTTGCATTAGCTTTAAACTTTCTAAAAAATGTTTACTTGCTGCAACGTTAGTGTTCAAATAAACTGAAATTTCCAAAACAAAAAGAAAAAAAAACACTCTGCTAGGTGAGATCTCAGATGTTAGGGTACAGTGGATCTAATAAAAATATTAATAGCTAGCATTTACAAAGCATATGCTAAACACTATGCTAAGTACTTTACAAACATTGTCACATACCCCATCCCTGAACTCACCAGTGCTAAATAGTATAATTAGCATTAAGTTGGCTCCACAAATCTGTGAAATATTATCACTTTACATGAAATATTAATTAATAGATAAGACAGCATTGGTATATGCACCTGAACGGTATGCAAGTAGGTTTATTTAATTAAAATTTTTACTATTTCAGTTGAGAGGCATTTGAAATATGATATTGTTTATGCTTGTTTTGTTCATTGGCATCACTTCCATTTGCTGTGGTTGCTTCACTTTGATGATGATGATGACAGAAGTCATTTTTAAAATACTATTATGGATTAGACAGAAAAAAGGGTTCCATTCCTCACATTTTGGCAATTTCATAAATGTGACCAAGTATAGAGGTTAGCCTCAAAAACCACCAAGCAGCAATGAGTCCATGCAGCTTACCCCACTAAATAAATTTTAATGGTTTATGCAGCTCCTTGACTATGTAGGTGCATCACCAACCAGGAATTCAACCATGAAGACTTACAATGTCAAATCATTAATCAAATCTTCCAATGTGTTTCAGATTCTTATCAGCACCCTTACTAGAAACTAAGTGTGTTAACAATTGAAACTGAACAATTCCATCAGTATACCTACAAGATTGAAAAGAAAATGTATCACCTAGTAACACTGGTGATAATAGGATACTAGTCAAGGAAAAATTGGTTCATGGAAAGGTAGCTAAAACAATATAGGAGAGTTACTAAGAAAAATAAACATTATTGATATCACAAAATTTCCCTATAATTCAGAAAGATTAATATTTTCTCTTTGTGCTTGTCTTTAAGTACCACTTCAATAAAATATCAGTCACAAATCACACAAATTGGTCTCCTGATAGAACTTTTGTTTACCAGACAAGGCACAGAACAAACTGGTCTTTGTCCTCCAGACATAAACTGGAGTGGATTTAAGTGGAGACTGAAGATCGGAAATTTAAGTGGAGATTGAAACTATTACGCAAAAATTAATACTTGCATGCTTCAGAGATGATAAAGGGAATGTTCTATTAATTTTAAAAGGGATTAACAGTTTTCCTCCATCACAATCACAACAAAGGGTAGGAAAAAAAAAAAAACCAAGTACCTTGATTAACAGTAAAGACAATAAATAGTTGTTGCTCTCTCTTTATAATAATATTCAAGTAAGCAGTCATCTCTACTTTCTTTCAGAAAATAATCTGTATTCTTACATGCCTGATGTTTAATCATTGCAGAGTTCTCATTTTTTATCCTTCAGATAATTCCATTTTAAGGTATGCATGTCCATATAAATCTTAACAATGGCTCTGAAGTAACTCTAACTTCCTTTAACACCTCTGTTCTTTTGTTTGTGTACTAGAACACAGGGAATCACTGGCTAATATATTCACTTTTAGAGCAAGAACTAAACCAGAATTGATTTTCCTAACTACCAAATAGCATCACTTCGCATGGTTACTCTTGTAGGGACTAAATGATGTGAATAATTGTGTAGTAATAAAAATAAACAATAAAACAAACCATATCTTATGTGAAAAATGTTTAAACATTTATTTATCCATCACACCAATATTTCAGTGTAGGTGTTTCCATTTTAATTAGATGTCTTGTTCACAGCCACCTAGAAAGGCCTTGTATCTGCTTTTAGAACTAATGATCTAAAGCCAGCTATTGCCAGAGCCACTCAAGTATTTAAGTCCTAACCCTCTAAGCAGTAAAAGGATAAGATTATACATGTAAAAAAAAATGTTTGCTCTCTTGGGTTTATTTGAATCCACAAAGATAGTCAACTTTAGACAAAAATTGTAGTATACTTGGGTGTTTGGGTGTAGAACAGTCAGAGAAGAAAATATTCAAATACACGTGATGCTATCACTTCCTCTTGGATTAAATTTATTTTTAGAGGCAACCTTTTCTCACACTCTTCCACCCCTTCTCAACAACCTGTTCAGTGATTCCATTGGGATTGAGTTATTTGAGAACTGTGTAGAGAGTTATGACTTATTCAACTAGATTGAATTATAATAAGATAATCTCTATGCCCAGTAAACACTCAGAATTTCTTCTTGAGGGGAGTGGGGTTTAGGGAGGTGGGTTCAAGCTATAGTGGTACATACATAAAACAAAAAGGAGGAAATTGTTATTCTCACTCAAGGAATTAATCTGGCTTGAGGTATGTAATGCATGATGCATACATAAAACCAATTCACCATTATGTATGTTTATTAGGGCTGATAATACACTAAAAATGCAATCAATGCAATAAAATTTGAGTATTCAATACAGTGAGGTCTCTATTATTTGCATTCACACTTCTCTGAAGTTATAATGATGTAAAATATGATCATTGCTTCCAGCCCAATGGAAATAAGCAATGCAAATTCAAATAATTCAACCACTTAATGGGATTCATTATTTGCACTAATTGGAACTCAACTATAATGAAAAATCAAGGAATCAAGTACTAATCTGATTCCTAATGCCCCGGTAAGTATGTTTCATACCAATGCTCATGACAAGGTTCTTTTTCTGCTCAGTCAGAGGACATATGTCTCTCTAAGGTGGAAAGGTGGTAAAGTAACATATTGGCAAGTCTCCATCATCCCTACATGGGATGCTCAAACTTCCAAATGCAAAAATCTGTTCTAGACATACAAGAGCAAGCTGGGGAAGTCTTCACATGCTTGGGATAGGCATCCCCTTAACTCTCTGACAGGTTTCAGACCTGGGAACTCTCATAAGTCTTATGTTTTTGGTAAAGGTGTTTACAAATTACATTTAAGTTCTGATTGGAGATCAAGATTATCTAAAGTTATGATGAAAGGAAACTATTGATCAAAGCTACATCATTAGCAAGTATTTATTATTTATTTGCCACATTTAGGAAGACATATGCAATTAATAGTTGTTTACCAAATTGGGGAACACATACACATACCTCATTGCCAAACTATATGATCCAAGTGTTTATCTTATTATTGAAAGACAGCTTATATAACAACTGCTTAGCCACAAAATTGAGACTTAAAACAAAACAGAGTTGTTCACCTAACTACACATGTTTTATTAACATATTCCCACTACAAAGTGTAGAAGTTACCTTGAGCTATTAAATAAAACTTGGCAACATCCAAGAATATGCTTTAAGTGATGAGTCAACTTCTATTACATTTCAATTGATTTGTATAGACAAAGAAAAAAGCATCATAAAAACAGAGTTATTCAGTGTGGGGTTTTCTTTATTCACTGTAAAGTAACTCCCATCTCCAGCTGTTCTCACAAAATAATCAAAAATAATCACCAAGGCAATGAATCATTAGTCAATAACACAAGGAGGACTAGTACCTCTAGTGTGAGGGCTTGTTAAGCCCTTGTCAGGGGTGCTCATTCACCTTGGGTATCCACCTACCACGCAAATCTCTCCTATGGCTCCAAGAAGCTGTTGTATGCACAGCAGCGATACTCCAATAAAACCATCTTGACAGACAGGTTAAAACAGGTTGAGGGTAACCAACAGGTCTGGAACTCATCAGAAAGTAAAGAGAATGTCTGTCTCAAGCATGTGAAGATATCTCCTGGCTGAATGGATGGATAAGAACATTTTTTTCCAATGGCCACGAAGGTGGTTGAAGCATATGCCTGTGGAGCACCTGGTCAGACATTAAAGATACCAAAGTCATTCACTGATCCTAGGCCATTGCTAGCCATCTTGCCATTTATCTTTCCACTAGACTTCAATGACCCTGGAAGAGAGAGTGAGGCTGATGACTTTGTGCAACTCTTTGAAAACAAAGGACCAACAACATTTCTTCTTAGTGTATTTGGAAAAGGGGTGTGGGGTAGCAGTTTTGATCAAAGTAGGTGTCCTTCCAAATTAAGACAATTTGCTGGTTCTGAATTCTTTCCCCTCAAAATACTGTTAGCTTCTTTGTATCATGGGAATATCTCATAGGACCTCCAGAATCTGCTGCAGCATAGCTCCACTGAGGTTGTGATTATGGTCCTATAGAAGACAAGACGATATAGCAAGGAAACGGTGAACCTTCCCAACATAGTTGGATTAGGCTGGTCCCTACCACAACTTACTATTCTGCGCAAAGCATCATTTCGCATGAGCAAAATTATAACACCAAGACCCACTAGACCATTCCAACAAGATGCCATATTTTTCTTACATGTTCAGAAAAAGTGAACATTTCACTACTTTTTTTTTTTGTCTAATGACTGGCACTGTAGTGCACCACTTCTTTAACTTAAGAAATTGTTTAATCAGTTACTTGTCAGCCCAAGACATCAGAGTAGCAATTCTCTTTGTTGAGAGAAAGAGTTAAAAAAACACTTCCCAACCCAAATATATTCCAATTCCTTTTAAGTACGTAAATACATATATACTCATCTTTTAATCCCTTCACAATCATAGAATCATATTCGTAATATTTTTCATTCTGTGTTCATTTGAACATTATCTAATTAAACTAATAACCTAAAAGAGAGAAGAAAAACCAAAACAAGAAGTCAGATAACTTTTTTGAAACACAAGGCAAGTGGAGGAAGAAAGTAAATATCGAGAAACAAATAGAACATTTTATTTAATTTTTAAATACTTTTTGTGAAATTTTTATTTTAGTATGTATAAATGTAAGCACGAATAGAGATTAAGGAATAAATAATTGAATTTTGAGGTAGAAAGAGGAAGAATACTATAAGTTTAGAGTTGGAATGGACTTTAGATGTCATATAACAATGTTATAGGTTATTTAATACAGTGATGTCAAACCCTATTTGATAGAATGTATTCTTCTATGGGAATGGGAAGTATTTATATGCCATCTAATCTGATCCCTTCATGTTTTTGAAGAGGAAATTGAGCCTCTGGGATGCTAAATGACTTGTCGAAGGTATCACAGGTTATCAAATTCTCAAGGATAAGCATGAAGGAATTTAATATTAATGAGATAACGTGCACTTACACAAAAAATATAGATTATAAGTTTGATACATAATTTTACAAGATCATAAATTTATAATTAGAAGGAACATTAGAAATTATTTGGTCAACCCTTCTTCATTTTACAGATGAAGAAACTGATACCCAGAAAAGTGACTTTTGCCTAAACTCACATAAATAGTAAAAGATAGGGGCTAGGATATGAACTATTTGTAATCCTCTGACTGGAAATCTAGCACTCTTTATAGCTGGAAAAAGTTTTACATCCAAAATCAATTTAACCATCTCCTTGAATTCAGATACTATAGAGTCTACAGAGAATTACTTTTGCACAACTTTCTTGAGGCATGAGTACAAAAGAGTTCATTTTTACAGTGTACAGTAATTCTAAATATGCAGATTTAATTTGCTTGTTCTTTGATATATGGTTTCATTAATATTGGGACATTTTATTCATACATGTTTACTTACTCTTGATTAGAGTTGCATGTCCTGCAGCAATATCATCCCTAGAGATTGTCACTCAGTAAATTTTGCATTTGGTTTTACTTAAGAAATAATTCCATGGGCTTTTCTTTCTTTCATTAGTCTCTTTTTTTATAAAATAATCTTTTTCTAGACATTCTTTACGTTCTGGCTAATCATTGTGCAAAATAACATAACCAAGCAGCTTGTGATACAACAAAATGATTTTGTTATTAAACAGGTCTGGAAATTTTGTCTTTACATGTGTGGAAAGTAAGACAGTTATGATATGGATGTGTGGGGAAAATCTGCTGATTAAGAAAACCTGTTAATCTTTGTTCTTGATTACCCAATCGTCTATGTCAGGTAATTATTTAAGCTAATAAATTACTATTACCATCTTGCTATCCCCTCCGTTAAAAAAAAAATACTCATTAGTTCCCGATGGTCAAGTCAATAAAGTCCAAACTCCTCTGCCTGAGCATTCAAGGTCCTCCACAATTTGATGCTCCTGCACATGCTTTTTCATTCACCCTTGCGTCTCTCTCACTATATCTATCTGTATTCTCTATATTTCAGAAAGTAAGAATATTTAACCTCTCTGCTTTTACACCTTTGTTTATATCGTTTCCTCCACAGGGAATAGAATTCCTACCCTAGGGCAGCTAGGTGGTGCAGTGGATAAAGCACCAGCCCTGGAATCAGGAGGACCTGAGTTCAAATTTGGTCTCGGACCAGATACTTGACACTTACTAGATGTGTGACCCTGGGCAAGTCACTTAACCCCAAGTGCCTTGCCAAAAAGAAAAAAAAGAATTCCTATCCAGCTCCCATTATTATTTCATTCCTATCTAATATTAAGCGTCTACCTTTAAATACATTGTCTCCATATACCTTTCCATGATGCCTCAGTTAGATATAATCTCTCTCTCCTCTTCATTCCTATAAAATTTTATACCTCTCTTATGGCACATTTACATTCCAGTTTGTATTAAAGGTGGATTTTAAATAGGTCTTATGCCCCTTATTTGGCAAAAAAAAAAAAAAAAATTTTAAAAAAGGAAGCTGGACAGAAACAATTTGTGTGCTCATTCCCTCACAGAATATGCAGTTCTTTGTTGTTGACATTCAGTCATTCAGTCATTTCTGACTCCTTGTGATACTGTAGACCATAGAACACCAGGCCCTTCTGTCCTCCACTATTTCCTGAAGTTTGTCCAAGCTCATATTCACTGCTTCTATGACTCTATCCATTTCATCCTCTGCCCTCCCCTTCTCCTTTTGCCTTCAATCTTTCCCAGAATCAGAGTCTTTTCCAATGAGTTCTGTCTTCTTACATAGTTAGGGTCAATGAATATTTATTAAATTATTATGTTTAGTAATTAATTTTCAAATCTCTTTTTATGTACACACAGCTTAAAGCTATGTTATATTGGCACCCAGTGGCAGGAGGTATGCAGGATTATTCTTTAATCCACAGCCTCAAGGGACAAAGCAGAATTTTCTAGTGTATGCAGGTATGGGAATGGGAAGTGGCAAGAGGAGAGAGGGAGAAGAAGTATCTCTCAATATTTGGTGGTAGCCGAAAGGCATCAGGTCATGTTAAGTATACTTGATATTTATTCATATTGCTGCCAGAAAAAAATTGGCTTGAATAATAAGAACCTGAGGTATTTTCTGAAGCACTTTTGTTACATCTTCTATTGTTATCCCATAATTTCCCTTCTCAATGTCTTTCCTCATCCAATTTCCTATACCTGGAAGTTTTGTCTCAAATCACTTTATCTTTGACTGATAGAATCCTTCCCATCTCAAAACCTTAAGCAAGCATCTCTTCCTTTTTGAAAGCTTTATTTATGTCAATAACATATTCTTTAATTTTGTGAAATGTCTAATGCCTCCTGTCCATGTGGAAGAATAAAATGGTACATTTTAGCTGCTAAGAATAAATAATCAATTTGCCACAGCCACAAAGAAATTTTCTGACAAACCTAATGCTAATGCCAATGACCAATCTGAATTTCACATGCCAGAATAAGTGAAATTGTTTGCATTAATATCAATCCACTTTGTTCTGTTGTATGTTAAATGGCTTCTCAAATCATAGGACCAGACTTTAGAGCTGATTTTAGACCTGAGAAGTTATCTAGTTCAACCACCTCATTTTACACATGAGACAACTGAGAACCAAAGAGATTAAGTGAGTTGTTCAAATGTCAAAGAAAAGATTCAAATCCAGGTTCTCTGACTACAAATCTGATGCTCATTATGCTATATCACTCTGCCTCAAATATGCTCAATGCTTATACACTGTCAATAAATTTCTTAATTTGTTTAGATTGAAAAATTAGTTTAATAATAGACTGTTAGAGTTGGAATCTTAGACATCATCTAGCCCAACCTCATCTTTTGACAAATGAGGACCATGAAACCCTAGATAAGAGAAATGATTGGTACAACAGAGGCTACCATATGCAAGGCACTGGCCTAGGTACTATGTAGGATGAAGTACAAATAGATCAAGTAAATATTATACCACATTGAGTTATTGGTAGAATTAGAATTATACCCAGATGACTTGATTTGCATTTTGCTGTTTTTTAATCATATTGATGAAATGTGCATAAATAAGAAATAATTTTTGAAGTATGACAGTTGTTTGAAAGCTTTTTTTTAAAAAAATGATTCTTATAACCAGTCCATCTCCTCAAAGTAAAAATATCTCCCATTATTTTGCTAGAGTAATGGCCAGTTATACTCCAAATACCTAGATATAACTCTTTAAGATTAGCCAAATACTTTTTAAAATATCATCTCATTTTATCCACAGAATAAGTGTTAAAGGCTTCATAGAGGTCAAGAAAGATGAAGATTGAGGAAAAAAATCCATTTGATTTGGCAATTAAGAGGTCATTGGTAAGAGAAGTTTCAGTTGAATGGTAAGATCAGAAGCCAGATTGTAGGAAATTAAGAAGACAGTAATAGGAAAGGAGATGCAGTGATTGTTGATAGCCTGCTCAAAAAGTTTAGCCACAAAAAGGTCATAATATATAGGACTATAGCTAATAGAAATGGATGGATGAAGTGAGGGGTTTTTGAGGATGGAACTGACTTAGGTACTTTTATAGGTAGAAGGGAAGCTGACAATAGATGGGGAAAGATTGAAGATAAGTGAGAGAGTAGGGAGGACAGGGGAGGCATTTTTTTAATATGATTGAATGCAGTGAGATCACTTGGGCATGTAGAGAGTTTGCCTTGGCAAAAAGAAGGCCTATCTCTTTTCATGAGACAGGATGAAGAAGAGAGTGGCAGAAGATGTTTAAATGATGTGAGGTACAAAAGAGGAGAAGAGAAGAAACTTTCAGTGATCTATCTTTTTTTTTTTCCACCGAAACATGAGGTAAAGTTCTTGAGAAGGTAAAGACAAGTGGGAACTTTGGGAGGTTTGAGGAATGGTGGAAATATTTGGAAGCCATTGTGATGAGTGAGATAGGGAGTTAATTAAGGAGGTAGAAAAGGATTAAAGGATTGCCTTGGCACAGCAGGGACCCAACTGTGATTTCATAACAAATTTGTAGCAGATCTAGGTAGCATAATTTCACAATTTTCTCCATCTTCATTCCAGAGCTTATGAGTCTTTCTGCTAAGGCAGAAGATTATTGGAATTATCCAGGTTAAGGCTTTTTAGGGCAGTATCAGTCATAGGATAAGAGAGTAAGAAACTTAAGAGAAGAGAACAATGTAGAGTTGAACTCATTTGCCAAGGGGTTCAAAATGGGGAATGGACTTGGAAAGAACTTTGAGTTGGAGGGATTGGAGCTCATGACAAGGACAAAGAACTGGATTTGGGTTGCAAGGCAGAGGAAGAGATGGAATGACAACAGATTGTGATCAGATAAGGGATTTCAGAGTTCATGAATGTGGAACTCATGAATTTGTGGATGAAGGCAAGTTCAGGATATAACCATTTTGGTGTGTAGCTAATGTGGGATAGAGGTTATGGGAAATGAGTGGTTTGAGGAACTAGTAGGTTAGACCGCTTAAGGAAGTATTGATACATATGCTGAAGTCCCCTGGTATGAAAACAGGAATTAGGGATGAGAGAGCAACAGTGAGCTAGGAACTGAACTCATTGAGGAAGTAGGGGTTAAGTCTTGGAGATCAGTAGACAACAACTACAAAAATTTGGATTGGGTGATAAATAGAAATTGAACGAACCTCAAAGGAGGACAGGTTACTGAGTGATGGTATTAAAGGGAGAATAAGGAACATCCCAACTCCCCAACTTGGACCTTTGACTTGGGGAATGAGGAAAAGTACAGCCAGTGCTGGAAAGGGTGGCCAAAGGGTCTGTGCTATTAAGAAGGAGTCAGATCTTAGTGAAAGGCTGAAGACAAAAGAAGTGGGAAAGGAGGGGGAAAGATTAAAGGAAATGTGCTACCTGTGAAGCAGCCATTCCAGAGAACACTGTGGAAGGAGGAGTTACTTGTTTTAGAGTGAAACATTGTAGGGAAGGTGGTTTAAAGGATATGGAAATAAAGAAGCAGGCAGTGGGGAATAAAGAACAGTGTATAGATGACAACTGGGGGTTCAGAATCACTAGAATTGGAAAGGTATGTTCAAATGGGAATTTTTTTTAATAAATGAGGAATGAGTTCTGATAATTTATCAATATTTCAAGAGGGTTAGCCTCAAGGAAAAGTTCTCTCAGAGACTTACGTGTCTCAGTTAACGGGACCAGTGCATGAAGACAATGGAATGACATTTTTCTTGCCCTGCAGGTGGTCCAGGTCAGGTGGAAAGACTGGCCTACTCTCTCCTGTTGTTATTTCTCAATCCCCTGCAGCCGGAAAGTGTCCCCTGCAAACAAGAGGAGAATAGGTGAGAAGACTTGTGCAAGATGGAATGGCATCTCATAATTCTCTTCAGGTAGGAAAGGTTACCTGAAAGCTGGAAACACAACCTGCTGCAGGAAGGGTAATCTTTATATAAGAAGAGACCAGACAAGGAAGCTGGTTTCATTTTGAGTTTTGGTGTTTCCTTTCACATTTCCTTTAATCTTTCCCCCTCCTTTCCCACTTCTTTTGTCTTCAGCCTTTCACTAAGATCTGACTCCTTCTTAATAGCACAGACCCTTTGGCCACCCTTTCCAGCACTGGCTGTACTTTTCCTCATTCCCCAAGTCAAAGGTCCAAGTTGGGGAGTTGGGATGTTCCTTATTCTCCCTTTAATACCATCACTCAGTAACCTGAGTTTGAGTTTGGTGTTTCTTGTGTGATGCATCTACTAACCCTAGACTGACTTAGAACATTTAAACCTGATTGGTTTAAAATTATGGCTCAGTTGAGACTGACTTGAGCTGATTATCTCACCTTTAATTCTTTGTTGGTTGAGTGATAGATTTCATGCCACACATTTTTGTTATGTTTTAAATTCTCTGGTTTTTAAGGATGGATATTACTCCAAGGAAACAAGCAAAAGTCACAGCTTTTAAATTCTAGATTTCAGTGACTTTTAGAGATAATTGTAATGATTTTTGTTTTGGGAAAGTCAGTTACTTCAAGGAACAAAGCAAAAAGGAGAGAATGGTCAAAAACAAGTGAATTAATAAACAAAAAACCACACCAAGAACTAATAAGCTATTGCTCTGCCAAATTATTCTTCAGGAAGAAAGCAAAGTCCTTCAGAAGGACCTGGTATGTGGAAGGGAATTATTGATTCTTTTAGATGGGCATATAGGACTTCTTGAGGTTGGAAGAACAATGAGAATAGTTTGTTGTGTATTTTTTTCTAAGGCTATGAACCACTGTTATGACAAAAAAAAAATAACACTTGTCATGGGCAAGAAAATACAAAGATTGGAATAATGAGAATTGAAAAAAAAGTTTTGTTTTTTTTAACTGATGAAACTACTTTTAAAAAAATTCTAGGGGCACATAGATGGCACAGTGGATAGATTACTGGCCCTGGAGTCAGGAGGACCTGAGTTCATATCTAGCCTCAGACACTTGACACTTACTGGCTGTGTGACCCTAGGCAAGTCACTTATCCCCATTGCCTAGCCAAAAAAAAAAATTCTAAGCTATATTAAAAGAAATCTAGGTGAGCCTGTAAAGTATCAGTATCTCAACCCACAAAACATTTCCCCACTGTAGAAATAATGAATTCTGTAAAAAAAAATTTGATAAATAAAGGAACAGAATTATTCCAGAAGTATAGAAATTCCAAAACAGAAACAGAATGCTATAACATAAATTTGTGCAATGTCACATGTTGCAAAAGATTAAGAAATGTATCTAACAAAGAGAGACAAACATGCTAAAATGGTCTGATAACTCACCTGATTTAAACCCCTTTGAAAATAAATAGGCTATGGGGGAGCTAGGTGGCACACTAGAGAGAGCTCCAGCCTTGGAGCCAGGAGGACCTGAGATCAAATCCGGCCTCAGACACATGACACTTAGTTTTGTGACCCTGGGCAAGTCACTTAACCCTGATTGCCTCACCAAAAATCAATGATAATAATAATAATAATAAATGGGCTATAATCTAGACTGGACATAAAAATGAATTGTCCATAAAAAGTACACTTAATAGCTAATGTGATTTATGGTACCATGATTAAGATTTCAACAATATGTATTGAAGTTTTGTGAACTCAAATCATATGAAACAAGTAATTTCAGCCTAAGTAGGAGAAATTGCATATTAAAAGTTTTTAAAGATGTAGGAAGTTGTAAGATTCATCATATAATATATTTAATTATTTTTTGTCCTAGTTAATTTTCATAACACTCTATGATTATGATACTGAGAAATATACAAAAAAAAAGATGTTTTTTTTTTAAACTAGGTAACTAAAACCTAAGAGAGATGAGAGGATAGTAGCTACATTTGATGAGCTCAAGGGCCCCAGTCCTAGATCAGGGCTTGTCAAACTTTTTCTACTCACAAACCCTTCACTTCTTAAATTGTGGGTCAAAACCCACAATTTAAAAGATAAACTATATTCCAGAATACTGAAGGGACATGAATGTGATTGCAGAACTGCTGTTGTGATCTTTGAGGAAATGAGGTGAATAGGAGATAAAATGTGGAGTTGAAGATAAGAAAATGTCTCAATTTTTAAAATAGGGAAGTAAGAACATACTTTCAATTATAGGTCAATGAGCTTGATTCAAAGGAAGAAGTGATCACAACTTAACATTATGGGTTCATTAAGAACATGTCATGCCAGTTTAACAATTTCTTCTTTTGGCAGGACTAGTAGACCAGACTAGGAGATCAGGGGAATGTTGTGGTATCAGATAACTATTTTAGTAAGGCATTGTAAGAAATTTTTCATCATGTCCTTATCGGTGAGATGAAGAAATGCAAACCAAGTGATGATTAGATTTGGAAGTGTCTGCCTGACTCTGGGGGGGGAAGTAGGAGAGGAATTACCACAACTGATCCTTGTCACTGGCAGTCTTCCAACAGAACATAGAAGGCTACTTCTCAGGAATATTTTAGAGGGGGTCTATAATTAGATTTAGAGTTGGATTGATGAACTTTGACGTCTCTTCCAAATATGAAATTATATATTTTTATAGCTTTATGAACATTATGATACAATATTAATCCCTTACTTGGATAAAAAAGCCAGAAATCATTAAGACTCAATTCTATTTCTTATCTGGTCCCTCTAAATCCTAGTAAACAATATAGGAACCAATTCTGGTCATTATCCCTTAGATGAAACTAAGTTAATAAGTTAATACACATGTATGAATTTATTAATTATACATATATGTATATGTATTTATGTCTCTACAAGGCACAGAGATAGGGACTAGAGCTATGATTTCACTGGTATAAGGAATTCCCAGGTGAGGAAACTCTTTACACACATAAATACATACATACATACATATAGACATAGACATATTTATATCTATAGACAGGTGTGTGTATGTGTGTAAACTTTAAGATGTGTGTTATACTATGACCCATAGTCCATATTACCTCCTCTTTTAATTAAAAGTTGGTTAGGACAGATTAATTTCATAGAGACATTTTCAAAGCTGGCAAGGATGAATAAATCTCCTTGAATATCTGAGGGGTAAAAAGAAGCAGAGTGGTTGCTGAAGTGGAAGAGGTGATCAAGATTAGTACTATTAAGCTACTATCACACGCTGACACAGCTTTCATTTCTATGCAGAGCAAATAAATACATCTCTTCTTGCAACTGAGATTCAGCTGGGCTTTTATTTGATCACCCTATTGCCTATAATAAACTGTGGCTCATTCAAAACAGATAGAGCTAGTTCCTTTCTGTTTTTAAAGCTGAATTAGGCAACATTTTAAAATTGAGTGAAATCAGTGAGATTGCAGCTAGGATGTCCTGCCTACAATGGCCCATAAAACTGGTGCCAGTTGAGGACTAGGATGAGCACGTGCTAGATGATTTTCATAAAGGAGGACTCCCTTGCCCCACATACCCCTCTCCTCCCTTCACTTTTCATTAAAGCATGCTTCTCTTGCATTTTTTTTCAGAAAATTCATTGCTAGGATTATATCAAGTTTCTCATAAAAGTTTATTTTACACATGTTTTATGATCATGTTGGGAAGAAATAATGAGATGGGAATGCATCACTTCAATGCAAGAGAGATGAGAAACTCGTAGCTTTAGGGCCCAGGACTGATAGATAGTGGATAGTTCATAGTTCACATCCCCCAGTCTCCCTACCACATTGGGATTACATTTTTTTGTGGGGGAGGGAGTACTGATACTTCATCTGTAACTTGATTAATTTTATCATGAAGAAATGCTTTTCCAGGATTACCAAAGTACTGTTTTCTCACTAATTAGTCTCAGTGATTAGGCATCTTATCCTTCCTACTTAATTTTGTTGTGCAATTAATTCATCATATGGTAAAATAACAAAGCCTTTTATTTTTCAGTTTTAGCTATTTTCCACCAAATTGACAGATATGTTTGGAAGTACAAATAGTTCAAATAGAAATCATTGATAAAACATATACTTGTGTATATTAATAAAAAAAAGTCTAAACCAGGTGGAGCAAACTATAAAAATAGAAACACAGAGCTGAAGGACATCAAGCAAGGTCAAAAAGTTACCAGAGCGAATTCTCTGGGGCTAAGCAGAAGTCTAATCTTTCTTTCATGACAGTCTTCAGATATTTGAACACTACCCACCAATTCCTTTAACCTCATGGTTTTGAATCCCCACACTATTCTTGCCTACGCCTACTTGCTTCAACCACCCTCCTGCACACTCCCTTCTCCATGACACACTCCAGTTTATTTCTTTCCCTCTTAAAATGTAGTAGCCAGAATAAATATAGAACCAAGGCATGGTCTGAACAAGGATAATTATCTTCCTTGTTCTAGACAATTCTTTTTGTAACCTAAGATTGTATTAGTTTTCTGAACTGCAATTTAAAACTGCTAACTCATACTGAACTGTCAGATTACAAAAACCCACACTTCTTTTCTATATGAATTGCTATCTAACAATATCCTTCTCCCATCCTCAACTTAGATTGTTGATTTTTTTTTATTTGAATACAGGACTTTGTTTTACATTCATCCCTATTAACCCAGCTATTTTATGAGATTCAGGTCATCATTGGAACCTGTTAATGTAATAATAATAATAACATTTGTATACTGCTTTCAAATTTTTCATATACAATCTCATTTTATCATCACAAAAGGGACTCAGTCCAGGCATCCCTGTACTTTTAAGCAGGACTGTATGGAAATTATGACAGATTGATAATGGTTTCTTTTATACTAGCATTCAGGTAAGAACATGTCATGAAATAATAGAATCATAGAATTTCAGGGCTGCAA